GCATGGAGGTGTGTCGGCACCCGAACTGATACATGCTGCAGGAGATCGCAGATTATGGAGAGGCATGATCGCCCACGCCAGTCGGCAAGGCACCTGATGATGATGATGATGATAATGATGATGAATTGCTGATGTCGTCTATTTGATCTGATCCGGTTTGTTGGTTGCCGTATTTTAGTGAATTAAAACCCCACCTGTTTTCTTCTGTCTACACTTATCTCCTTAACCTAGTTTTCCAACAAACCTCATCAAAAGACCTAGATTAGCTAAATAAGTCGGAGTCAACGTCATCAATGCGCCGGCTTGTCATGTGACAGAAGGTAAATTTAAAGAGGTAAAGTGCTCAGTTAAGATAAGTGACAGATAATGGACGATGTAACACATGCGCAGCTAATTAAAATCCTAATTTTTATAATGATGATTCACGTGTGATACAGCGTGAATATAATCTCCTTTAGTGTTATCACTAAGTGATGCAGACCTGCCAATTTTCGATTTCAAGAGGGGCGTAGAATGGCCACTTACAGCCAGAAGCGTAGCTGATTTCTTCCCGGTGTTAAGTCATTTTTAATTGCCGATTAAACACCAGGCAGCTGGAGTACTTTGGTTGAGAAGTCCAGTTAATATTTCTTTCTGGTGAGTGTCTCATTTGTAAGTATTCCTTAGTATGTCTTAAGTTTAGAAAAGTTATTTTTGTCACTAGCAGAAAGGTGCGAGGAATCTACACGTTTGCATGTGGTGCTTTACTGTTTATTCCGAATTAACCACTCTTTTTCTCTTCGACTGCATTTCAACTCCCAAAGGGGCTTAGGCCCTCAACCAGCTCATGTCAGATAGGCATACCCTTTGAAATCGCATGCAGCTCACCGCATGGCCTCCCATCTTTTTAACTGCACTCTTTAGCTCCCTTCATTGTTATCATGGTATGGGGCCTCGCAGGTCGACACAGCCTAAAATGGGTACCATGATGGCTGTCCTGGGAAAGTAAAGACTGCCGACGTAATGCTGACCACATTACCCATCCAGTGCCGATTGGTCTGTAAAAATATGGGCCATATACCCGATACGCCTAAGGCGTGAAAAGGGATCTTTACTTTTACTAGCTCCCTTCTCCATATGTGTACGTGAAAGTGTCTGGATGTATTTTTATCTACATTTATTTATATGCCCACATCAGTTCCAATGTAAAATAAATTCTAGTTATATTGTTGTCAACCTTTCTCAGCGTGCGTCCTACTCAAAGGCAGCAGGTTCTCTTGTAATATCCTACCCCAGATAACGTCACAGGACAGTCTAACATTTTAGAGGGTGGCAAGGCTGGGTTTCCTGGCTTTCTGATGCTGTTAACGACCCCAAAACATCTAGAATTCGCCCTAACCCCAACCCACCTACGTCCCACAAGAGGGTGCAGCCTAGGTCCCACGACTGCATGCAGCCTATTCACCAACACCTCCCCCCCCCCCCCCCCGAAATATTAGACTGTCCCGTGGCCTGTGGATTTCCATTGTTTTGGGTAGGATATTAAGATGGCACACAGCAGCGTCTTGTCTTCACCTCCTGATTCCCTAGAATTTGTTGAGAACTAACCAGTAATCGCTCTCTAATCCATGCTTTCAGATGTCGAACAAGAAATCCTGACACTAGACGTTCCAAAAATGGCCGAAAAGAAATCAGACAGTGTCCATTTTGATTTGACACTGAGTACCCAGCCTGATCATTCAGAACTTGTGTCCCAGAAAGATGAATCCACTTCCTTTTCTGGTAAAGAGTTCGACGATATCAGGCACACATCCAGCGATAACTACAAAGAGGAAAATGAAATAGATAAACTGGGACCGAATGACAGCCAAGATGCTTCAAACTCGGGGAAGGCAAGTATACTTTAGTCAATATACGATATAGGATAATACTATGTGGTTTAATAATATGTATCCCTGTCGCGCCAGCTCATCTGGTTAAACCTTAATGCGCGGCGACCGGCTGATGAACTTCTTGTGGTCTGGGTTCACGCCCGGGGGTAGATAGAAAAGCCATATTTCTCCCAGATTCACGGTATCTATCATGGAATCAAGGCCGAAAGGTTGCGATAGCCATACTACCGAGCCAAAGGGTTTCAGTATCAGATAGAGACAGTCTATATTCTTTGGTTATGTGATGAGAAGGAGAACCCTGAAGTACATGGTGACAGCAGGAAAGTTGGAGGGGAGAAGAGGCAGAGAAAGACCGAGAGAAAAGATGTTGGATAGTTTGTCATCATAGCACGGAGGATCATCTGTTTGAAAGATGATTGAAAGTACAGGAGACAGAAGGTTGTGGATAGACACGACAACCAACGTCACACATCATCATCATCATCGTTCCCTGCCAACTGGCGTAGGCGCTCATGCGTCTCCACAGATCATGATCCCTGGTTGACTGGAACACCTCTCTTGATGATATCCCTCTATGCCATTGTTTTAGCCCATCCAGCATAATCTCCCTTGGTCTGCCTCTACCCATTTTTGCACTGATCTACTTTCATTAGCCTTTTTCAAGTAATCGTTGTTAACTACTCTGGCCGTCCAAGGTATTCGTAACATTCCTCTCAAAAACCACTTCTCTGTTGCTTCCAAATTCTTCTTAATTTTTTCAGTGACATTCCAAGATTCCCTGCCATACAACGTCACACAGCATGAACCTTAAGGGGAAAAAATGTTTTGATTATTGCTAGGACCTTTCAAGGTCAAATGCAATTAGCCCTAATTCTTCCTGTTTATGCTGCACACGTGCAGTCTTCTCCCAGAGAAACTCTTTGCTCTATTTACCCACTTGTAACGTTGTCTCCATCTTGTACGGTTCACTCTCCCCTTTATCCCGCGGAGCTGCAACCTTTCATATGACAACTATATTTAACTTTCCGACATTGATACCTTTAACTCGCTTCTCTTTAAATTTTAAAAAATTCTAATGGCGGGCAGAACAAACGCACCCTAGACAATTTGCAAGGGGGCTTCCCTCATTTAAAAAAAAAAAAATAATGTGTACATTTTATATTATTGATAATATATTAATTGATTTATTTGCCAATCAGCGCATTATTATTATTATCATTATTATTATTATTGCGCACTAAAATATAGTTTAAGCCTCTAAAGTCCCGCCCCTAGTTAAAACATTAATGAATCAAGAACTGATGGCGTGCTCTGTTCTCTAAATTAGTACCCAACGAAGAGTTTACATACTAATATTACCTGTTGCAACCTGATTGAAAGTCCACCTGTTTTACTTTCTGTGTTGAATATCTTTCAGAACCTCTACTAACCTCCCCCCTCCCATTTCCGTCCGTTAAATTAGTCTTTCAGTGTATGCATGCCCTATCTGTGTGTGTGTTTTTTTTTTTTTGGCACTGCCCCAGAAAATTATATGGTGTATAATCCCCTCCCCCTTCCTCTCCCAAAACCCTAAAGATTTCCTGGTGGTTACGCTCCTGAGGGAAACTGCAATACAAACACGGTCTGGCGATCGTATGATATGATAAACAACACAGCCTATGCTTTGCTGGCATGTTGCCTGATGGTACAACAATGTTTTTGTTTTGACGTGTCCTCCAGTTTTCCCAGAGCGGGGATAGTTCCACATCCGCGCCAGCACACTTAGATACGCCTGCCAGGAAGTCCAGAAAAGAGAACAAAAGGAAGGTCAAAGATAGCACTTCTCAAAACACGCAGAATCACCATGGTAACGGCGTCCTTCCAAACAAACAGGTAACAGTCCTCCTTTCTGTTTCCCATCTCTCTCTCTCTCTCTCTCTCTCTCTCTCTCTCTCTCTCTCTCTCTCTCTAGCTACCTTGCTTTCATAATTCATCTCTATCGTATCTGATACTGTTCTTCCGATTAAGGATTTAGCAGCGGTAGATGTGAGACCTGTCGATTTGTATCGAGTAATGACCGATAAACTGGTCTGGTTGCAATGGCTAGCTACCCACAGGCTAATACGCAACACGCAGGTATGTTCTTCCTGCCAGGGTGATATGTCATTGGCAGCACGGCATGTGGCCTCTGACAGATACTCGTGGCGCTGTCGTCGCTGTAGTACTGAGTGCAAAACGCGATTAAACTCACCACCGACTGTATCCCCCACGCCGCTACGCGCGGCGTCGACAGGGGGCTAAACTGGATGCCTGGGACTCACAAACAAATAAATTGAAGGAAATTGCAGGAGATGAGTCCCAGCTTTCTAGTTTAGCTCCCCATCCGTGCCGCGCGTAGCAGTGCGGGGGATACTGTCGAGGCATAGTCACATAAACTGGTCCGCAATTAACATATCGCAGAGACCCTGTTAGAGCATTTGTTTCGTTATTCGGAGCCCATCCTAGTTTTGCCCCGATTTGTTCCTCGGCAGGAAGTCCGCATTTTTCATAGGACTGAGGCCCTGTTAGGGTATTTGTTTGGCCGCCATAATGCCGGGGTAGAAGTTCGGAGGTGAGCCTAAAACTGTGTGCTAGGGTAAAGTCATGGGTAGTAAATGCGACCGGCTTAATGTTGACTACATCATCCAGCGAGTGCCTATTGTATATAAAATATAGGTCTAGTCCTATATGCCTAATACGACTGAAGGAGTGGGAAAAGGTCCTTTGCTTTACTTTAATTTAACTCATCATCAATCAGCAAGTCCTTTAGAGAACGTCGCTCTCGTCAAGGCACGCCTGAAAGTATCCCTTTCCCTGGCAAGCTCTCCAGCCCCATGTGCTTTCAATTCCAATGCATCTTCATTGTCTTGTATCCATCTTCGCGGTGGTCGACTCCTGCCTCGCCTTCCACAAACTGCACCTTCCATCACAGTCATTTCCAAGCCACCAATTTAAATACAGATGTGTAATAGAGTTTTATCTTACCACAGACGTTTAGTAGAATCTTCTCTAAACTTGAAATTTTTTAATCTTAGGCGGACGATGAAGCTGCAGAGATCACAGCTCTTGTAGACCGAGCAACGAAAAAATTACGTAATCTACGAATGAAAGAGTTATCTGGTCACCATTCCATGTCCTTGACAGGTAGGCCACTCTTCCTACAAGTTGTTGTCACACTGTTTGTATACAAAATGTTACCTCGCCTCTTTGTATCAAAAATTTTACTTCACCTTTGTTTATCCAAACGCACATGTGTCTCTGTTTGTGTGTGTGTGTGTGTGTGTGTGTGTGTGTGTGTGTGTGTGTGTGTGTGTACGTGTGTGTCAGTATGAGTTAGTACATTCATGAGTGCATGTTCATATGTTAACTGGTGCAGGTCTGCATCTGCGTCTGTGTGAGTGATTTGCGTGCTCATATTTCTGTATGTTTCTATGTTTGTGTCTGTGTGGATTCATCTGTGTGCGTTCTAGTATGTGTGTGAATATATGTGTGTGTGTTTATGTGTATGTTCATGCGAATGTATTTCATATGTGTCTGTGCTTATGTATTTGTATAAACGTACATCTTATGTTTCAGTACAGGCATATGTGTATAAATATATGTTTGTTTGCATGGATTTTTATCGTGGTATTGGGCGTCGCAGGTCCACCCAGCCTTAAATGGGTACCAGGATGTGTATGTCCTGGGGAAGTAAAGACGGCCGGCGTAATGCTGACCACATTACCCACCGATGGCTTACTGGTCTGTAAAAATATGGATGCTCTTCCCATATGCCCGATGCGCCTAAGGCGTGTGTGTGTTTGTCTTTGTATATTTGTTTCTATTGGTGTGCTTCTAGGTGTGTCTGTGTGTATATAAACCTATGTGTGCACATACGTCTATGCGTTATACCCACTGTATCACCATAATATTGTGTAGAATTGTAACATAACCCTACTGTTGTATAAGAATGCCGGATAATAATGTACTATCGCCTAACAGTTGTAACAGAATAACAGATAAAAAGCTAACCTTTCCCTCCATTTGTAACATTATGCCATATAAGAATTTAAAGCTACCCTACTTTTGTAACAGATTGTCAGATAAGAAAATAAATTCATCCCACTGTTGTAACAGAATGCCAGATAAGAATGTAACATCACCCTACTATTGTAACAAACGCCAGGTAAGAATGTAACACTGCCCAACCGTTGCAACAGATTACCAGATAAGAATGAAACATTACCCTCCTTTTGTAACTGAATCATAGGTAAGAATGTCACATCACCCCACTCTTCTAACAGAATGCCAGATAAGAAAATAAACGAACCATACTATTGTAACAGAATGCCAGATAATAATGTAATCGCACTCTGCTCTTGCAACAGAGTGTCATACAAGGACGTAACATTGCCATACTGTTGAGAAACAAATTATTAGATAAGAAGGTAATTTCACCCTACTATTGCAACAGAATGTCAGATAAGAATGTAACATCCCCCGTGTTGATCTATCATCTGCAGGAGAGGAGGCCGATTGGAAGCTGCCATTGACCATATTCACCTCCAGGAGACAAGAACACCTGGATGATAAACCAAAACGTGTTAGATCCTTCTATGAGAAACAAAATGACCTAATCTCAGCTTACGAAACCCTGGCATTGGGCATCGAACCTGCAGACGCAGAGATTCAGTCCTTGAACCTTCAGAGCACCTCCGACAAGGCGCTTTTATATTCAAAGATTACTCTACTCGTAAACGTAGTTCTACTGATAGCTAAAGCTGTAGCCAGTGTTCTGTCGGGATCCATTTCTATTATTTCCAGTTTAGTGGACTCTTGTCTGGATCTCTTCAGCGGTATCACCATGTGGTGGGCCACTCGATCAGTCAGAAAGAGAGATCCGTACAATTACCCACAAGGACGTACCAAACTGGAGCCGGTTGCAGTTATGGTGGTGGCCGTTGTCATGGGTCTGTGCTCAATGCAGCTGATCCGTGAAGCCATAGAAATGATCATAAGCTTGCTGGGTGATAATGCCACGTTACCAAATGTCGATTACATCACTTTTATTATTGCTGGAAGCACGGTTGTTGCAAAACTTATCCTCTGGTTATTCTGCAGAAGAGTCAATTCTCCCATTGTCCAAGCTTTAGCCCAGGATCACAGAAACGATGTTCTTTCCAATGCGGTTGCCATCATATGTGGCTATTTAGGGTCGTCGAACTTCCTTGAAATAACTGACGAGTACGCGTTTTCATACACTGACCCTACCGGTGCCATCCTGATTTGTTTGTACATCATCTACAACTGGTGGCAGACAGGGTCTGAACAGATCAAGATGTTGACAGGCCACACGGCAAAACCTGACTTTCTGAGTCAGCTGACGTGGGTCTGCATCAACCACCATCCGAAAATCAAACATATTGACACAGTCCGCGCATTCCACTTTGGAAACAACTTTCTTGTCGAGGTTGATATAGTCCTACCTGAGAAGATGACCCTGGAGGAGGCACACAATATCGGAGAAACGCTTCAGCAACGAATCGAAGGGATGTCCGAGGTGGAGAGAGCATTTGTCCATCTGGATTACGAATTCCGTCACAATCCTCAAACGGAGCACAAAACTGTGTAAAGGATGAAATAGTGGCAGCTATAACATCGTTAGCTATTCGGGTTCGATGTTGCCATTAATTATATAGCTTGTATTGTCCCATTAACTTCGTGGTTTGCAGTGTTACCATCGACTGGGTCTTATGCAGTGTCAACCTTAGTCACTATTTTACATTAGATATAAACCCTGTAGCCTTTAACATTATATTTTGTAGTTGTAAAAAAATAAAACGTTTGTTAATTTATGATAACTAACGTGGAATGTCTCAGTTATTTTCGTCATCGCCATCATTTCCTTTTCTTTTTCTTATTACTATTATTACTTTTTTATTATTAATATTGTTATATCTCTCTTTCTTCTTTATTGTCATCATCACCATCATATAGCTCATCCTCCTTCTTTTTCTAGCATCTCCGTCATCTCTCATTCATGTTGTTCGTCTTTCTACACACGGAGATATCAAAAAGATTTTTTTTTAAAGAGTAGCAATTGCTTTGTTATTATATAAAAATAACTTAACCTGTGATAAACCTATCGTATGTCTGTTGGTATCAAACATTGATAAAATTTGTTATCTTCGGCTGTAGATATCTAGTTATCAGTTAAAAGTGTCAACTGTGCTACGTATTTATCTGAACTTATATAATCAACTTTAAAGTAATTATACATGTAAATGTGTAAATGTACGTGCATGTGTGTTTTTACCCGTGTTACCACCACACCCACCATCGTCAGCATCATCATGTATCTTGTAGATGAGATTAGACGGTCATGTTTTGCCATCATATCCGAATTTTTGATCTCTTCTTCTTCTTCTCCTTTTTCTTCGCGTTCACCAGCTTTAAACTCTGGCGGAAAGGTATGTTGTTCGTCCACTTCTGGACTGCAATCCTGTTCCAGAACCTGAGTGTTGCGTGCGCATCTGTTTTACAGATCTGACTCATTCGTATGCAGATTACTGGTTCTTTGCCTCTTTTCGACTTCGAAGGAAGCTCCCATTTAGTCGACTCTTAGGACATGCTCTTGGGAAAGCAGTGGGTTTATTCCCCCCCCCCCCATTCCTTCCATAATAGGGCCTCACAACGCATACAGGGAAAATTCTGGATCCGGTTATGGCACTTTTCTCGCCGTGCTTATACGGCCTAACCACCCAGGATTTTATTTCTCAGCTTCTATTTTTCAATTAACCTTGAAAGTCATAACCAAATTCTAGAGACCAGTCCTCGTAAGTCCAAAAATACAATTTCTCTACGACTTTCTCTAAAAAGTTTACGATTATCATCTGTCTTAAAGAAGGACTGTTTGGATTGTATTTCAATCATTACGTAATTGTTTTTTTTTTTTTTTTTTTGCTACTATTTTGTGTATCTTTGTCTGCGGATCGGAAGGTTGTGGGTTCAGAAGATGACAAGAAAAAGTAGAGTGTTAAATTACACTATGAGGGAGCATGGGACTCACGGCCCATAGCGATGGCGAATGTGACTAGCAAGACCCGTCCGTCTTAAGAAAAGTCTACCACAATTATAGCATGGGATTGCAGGGCCGTTGTTGTCCACCTCTGTGTTTAATATATTTCTTCTCAGACACTTAGCTCTAATCTTTTCTGCAATCGTTTCTTCATTCAACCACTCCCTTCCTTGTGTGCCCCCTCAGGTAGACCTGACCTTTATATGGTTACTAGGTGAGGTCCTTATAACGGCAGTACCAAGATGCTGAACACAGCCACTGAATGCCGATTGGTATAAACAACCAGGAGTCTGGCGTCGTGTGCCCTCTGCGCCAATGGTGGCAAAAAGGCCTTAAACTTGTCACTTGACTATTACCTGTTAGCATTGTCACAACATTACTCTCATCGCAGCCAGTCCCCCAGCCCTCGTGACTGGAACAACTACTGTAACAACCTGTATCTTTGACAACCTGTATCTGTCTACAATCATTTGTATCTGTGTGTGTGTCGTTCAATCCTACCAGGACCCTACAACGAACGACCAACATCAGGTGACATAAAGTGCCCCCATTCGAATGAGGACCACCCGGACACAAGTCACAGAAACCCCGTTAAACCGTTAGGTTATATTAGGACCCCCGACTACACCCGTGATGGGGCTTTTAAATTAACGACGACATTTTTAAAAAATATATATATTTCTATCTGTAACAATCTGTATCTGTAACAACTTGTATCTGCAACAATATGTATCTTTAACAACTTGTACATGTAATAAACTCAAGATTGGAACGAATTTTATGTTGGTAACAACCTGTTTTTAACAACATGAATCTGTAACAATTGTGTTCATCCATGTCTGTCGCGACTGTCGCGACTATTGTATTTGTACATTCGGAATAGTTTGTTAGTGTTCCGTTATACTTCTTTTACTATTGTTACAGCCGCAGCAACGACAAAATCTACTATTAATGCTGTTGCTGCTGCTACAATTTCTACCACCACAAATACCACCACCACCACAACAACTACTGCTGCTGCTACAACTAATTATACTGCTAATACCTCCATCACCCCTACTACCACAACAACTACCTCTACTACTACTACTACTACTACTACTACTACTACTACTACTACTACTACTACTACTACTACTACTACTACTACTACTACTACTACTACTACTACTACTACTACTACTATTATTATTACTACTACTACTACTACTACTACTACTACTACTACTACTACTACTACTACTACTACTACTACTACTACAATCACCACCACAACCACCACCACTACTACTACAATTTATAACAACCTACTACTACAACTTACAACAATAACAACTATTACTACTACTACTACTACTACTACTACTACTACTACTACTACTACTACTACTACTACTACTACTATTACTACCACCACCACCACAACTACTGCTACAACCTACAACAACAATTACTACTACTGCTACTACTACTACTACTACTACTACTACTACTACTACTACTACTACTACTACTACTACTACTACTACTACTACTGCTGCTTCTGTTGCTGCTACAACGATGACTACGACTTCTACTACAACTACTACAACTGCGGGTCTCTGCACGTTTCCCATACTCCGATATTCTTGACCAACTCTCATGCTGATATTCATACATGCAGCCATATTTGATCACCAAGCACAAATTGTTGTCTGACTGTAGCGGCCTTTGTTGCTCGGAAAAAAAACTGATTATTTCGATGGGTTGCACGTCTGTTTTACAGCTCTGGATTATTTGTATGTAGACTGTTAGCTTCTCGTCTCTCAGACAAATACACTCCGAAACCGAAGGAAATCCCTTGTTAGTTGCCTTAAACATGCTTGTTAGAGGGCAGTTGATCTTTTCCCTTCCTTCAAAATCGGGCCTTGGAATCTATACGGATAGAAGCATACGTAGATTACAAACAAAACAATGCAGATATGGGGAATAACTGTGTAGAATTTTGGTAAACATTTAATACCGAAATTGCTTCCCTTTTAATAACTTCAGAAAATGTACACAATTAACTTGTAAATAGTTAAAGAAGGCGGAGGGAAATACAACGACCTTCTCTATTATTATTATAGGCCAAACAGGTCAACGGGGATTCCCATTCTTGTGCAAGAATTGAATCCCTCTGCGTCCACAGTTTTTATCGAGTAGATGTATACACAAATTAAACTACAGTTTCATTAATTTTCAACATATTTTATAGAACTATACGCCATTTTTAAGGTAAATAAGTGTGAAAATTAAATACAACAATAAAGGCTCTCACAGACAAGCAAAAATGCTTTTGCTACAGTCAGCATGTCATACATAACATAAATATAAATGATTGACGGTTATTATTATTAGTAGTAGACTGCTACAACATATAATTATACTGTTATTTAATAATTAGTGAACAAGCACAATCAGTATGAAATTGATGTGTGCAATACTTTTTTCACCCAGAGTAGTTTTCTTAACAGTACTTATAGCACTACTAAATATGTATCCTCAAGGTACAAACAGCACAAACAAATTTGTCCAGTTTCATCTTGTTGGATGAAATCAATTCCTTATCATTGCGAATTTTTTGGTAACTGTTTACAAATACATCACACATATTTCTAATTACTGCATGCAACAACGCGTATAAGTATCATGAATGGTATATTATTTTAAAGGCAATTAAAGCAAATAAAAAAAGACCATATAACTGCTAATTGCTGAGCAACATACACATATCAAACACAAAAACCCCATATAGATACCGGATCTCGCTGTTCAAAACTGTCTGGAACAAGACTAAAGCTCAGAATAAGATGAACAACCAGAGGTTTCTGCCAGAGTTTACAGCCAGTGTTCGCGAAGCAAAAGTCAAATGGTTAAGGATTAATATTATTAGTGTACTGCTACAACATATTCACAATATCCACTTGTAGATTTGTAATACGAATTCATTCAGAACACAGAACTTTGTAAGCACATTAAAATGTCACACAATGCAACACATGGAAAGGGCTTACACTAACCAGTTTTCGAGAGACCCCATCCAAAATTTCACTTGATTTAGTTGGGAAAAGATGCTTAAAACTGTGCCAGTACTGCGTATTGTAATTTACCATGCAATTTTCTACCCCGTATAACGGTTTTTGTTCTTGTGATATACGGTGTACTATAATCGTTCCTAGTATTTTTCTCAGGTTATCTATCTTTATCTGTTTTCCACTGCAAAGGATTAACGCGGCGTATCATATATTTACTGGGAGTGTTATTTAGAGTTCATGTGTCATGTACATCAGTAAACTGCTTCTTCTTCTTCTTTTGTCGTATTACTGATACCAGGTTAGGTTGTAGCCCATTGTCCGGTTTTCTATATTTATCTTGCGCTTCTCGGGTGACTTGAGGGATGGATTTGTTCATCATTTGCAGGTTTCTGCTACACCATTTATCTATCTCTTTCTTGGGCTTCCTCTCGCCTTCCTCCCAGATATTCTGCTGTAGAAAGTCTCATATGCAGTTTGGTTTGTCTGCATTCTCACTAG